GCCCTCCGTCAGCCCTGAGGGAACCGCCGCGCTCGCGCCGCCGCTCTCTGACACGCGAGAAAGAGAAAGGAACGGAGCGGCGGGGTAGTCGGGGGAAGGAGGGGCCGGAATGGAAGCGCGAGGCGAGCTGCGCATGCCCAGCAGGAAGCGGCGGAGAGCGCCACAGAGAGAGAGAGAGAAGCAAGGGAGGGCGGGGAGTGGGCGGGAACACGCTTCATGCGTCACAATAACGGACAAGAGGCGCTTGAGGGATAGATTAGGACCTAATTTGACTTTTACAAAAAAAAAAAAAATCTTTCGAATTTTCCCCAAGGCACACCAGGCAACATCTCGCGGCACACTTGTGTGCCGCGGAACAGTGGTTGGGAAACACTGATCTAGGCAACCCTGGACCTCCATACACGCTGCCCAGAGAGGTCACTTATGTGTAGCTAACATAGCAAAAACTATGGGCGGCAGTTACATGTTACCAGTCTCTGCAGGCACAGGAGGTGATGTGATTCTCCAGCAGTTTGCCTTCACCCCCAGAGGCACACTCCATTGTCTCTTGATACATGTGGATGTCAACAACCAATGACATATTTAAATATGTGTTTCTGTGTGGACTTTAAATAAAATCAGATTAATGCAGAAGTAGGATGGCACAGACTGAGGAATGATCATATGCAGAAGTGACATGAACCAGAAATAGACACATCTGTCCACCCCTACAGATACACTGTAACAGAAGAGTGAGTGGAAGAATGACTGAAAGCCATGGGGTGTGATGGAATGCTGGGTGGAGTCAGAGTGACTGACAGGTGGAGGGTGTCTGAGAATTACAGTTGAAGTGGAGTTGTGAGAAAGTGTATGAAAGCAGAGGTAAAAAGTAAGGATAGCCATAAAGAGGAAAATTGGTAATTTTAGATTAGGCTATACCAGTAAATATACAGTGTTCTTCTGTACTATCTATGGTAACTCAATAGGTAGTGGTGGCAGGTATTGTGAGGGTCTTAAAGGGAAGTTGGTGAACTAGATGTTTGAACTAATTACTTCCAGGGACCTGAGCCTTGTCACACACACCTTTTTCTGGAGATGGTGTGATAGGTCACCTCCCCCAAATTCTGACTTTCCCTTTGCCAAACAAGAGAGGTCTCAATATAAAGAAACAATGAACTCCCATAAAAAAAGCACCAACCAATCATTAAGGACTATTAACCAGTGATCTACTAACAAAACAGAATTATTAGGTCAGTGATAGTGGTGCTTGCTAATTCCTTCTCACCCTATGCTTAAATGGTGGGAGGAATTCACTCAAATACCATTTTTTTGTATCAGGCTTTTAAGTATTTTAAAGAGTTATTTCTTACCTTAATGTTCAAGGCTGAGCATTTTAAGAAAATGATTCCAAGTTCCAAAAGTGACTTTACTAGAATTAAAATTAATTAAATGAATTAATTTACTTGATGACTCTTGGGGTTCCTTCCAACTCTATAATTCTGTGCTTTTCTCACTACTGTTTAAGTCTGGGGTAGGCAACATGCAGCCCGCAGGGGTCATTTAACCAGCCCACGAGTCGCCCCCAAACTGAGCTGCTCGCTCGACAAGTCCCCGTGCACTGCGCTAAACTGGCACAGCATGTTGCGGGGACTCGCTTCCACAGCGCTGGAAATTGCGTCTGTGCATGCGCAGACGCTGGAAATCGCAGGGGGGCATGTGCAATCCAGCCCACGGAAGGATCTCTACTGGAGTGAACCGGCCCAGGCGAGGGAAACCTTGCCAACCCCTGCTTTAAGTCTTCTCTGTGCCCTTATTTCCTCTGTCTCCTAAACCTTTTCCATCCTGTTTCTCCTTAATTATAGATAGTGTCATCAATGTACATAGCACCATCCATCTTAAGGAGAAGTTACCCAAAGTGAACACAATAATCCAGCTTTATCTTTACTAATGCCAAACAGTGTGGAAGTATTTGAGCCTTCTCTTAGTATAACCCTAGATAGCACTCTGGCTCCTTCAGTGCAAATGGAAATGGGAAAAATCAGCCCAGCCAGCCACCCACTCTGGGTTGGCGATAATCCTATTAGGAGAACAGGAGATGAGACTAGATGGTGCCTGCTGGCTGGGTGGGTGTGTTGGGGTTTTTGCTTTATAATTTTTCTTTAAAACATGTCTGTTCAGTTACATCACAGTTGTATTTCAAAAATGGAAACTACACAAGCAGAAAAAGCTACAAGCAGGCTCAAAGGATCTTTGGCATGGTTTACTGCTTAAAGGTAAAGGTAAAGGGACCCCTGACCATTAGGTCTAGCCGCGGACTACTCTGGAGTTGCGGTGCTCATCTCGCTTTATTGGCCGAGGGACCCGGTGTACAGCTTCTGGGTCATGTGGCCAGCATGACTTAGCTGCTTCTGGAGAACCAGAGCAGCACATGGAAACGCCGTTTACCTTCCCGCTGGAGTGGTACCTATTTATCTACTTGCACTTTGACATGCTTTTGAACTGCTAGGTTGGCAGGAGCAGGGACTGAGCAATGGGAGCTCACCCCGTCACAGGGTTTCAAACCGCCAACCTTCTGATCTGCAAGCCCCAGGCTCTGTGGTTTAGACCACATTGCCACCCACGTCCCTGGTTTACTGCTTACTACTGGTCAAAAAACTACTTCATTTTTCATCTCTCCAAAGTCAATCCAAATGAGTGTTGGGATCAAACTGGGGCTGTAGCTAGGGTGGGAAAATGAGGCTTAATGGAGCCTCTGAACATTGATGGGAGCCACCCCTTAAAAAAACATGGGAGGGAGCAAAGTGCCTCAGCCCCCAGGAGCTGGCATTTACGCTGCAGAACTTGCATGCAACTCTTGTGGGACTCCTTCCATGGCAGTGGTGTGTGGTCAGTGGACCAAGGGAACAAGGCTAGTCCCCTAAATGTTTCCCTGGTGTCTCCTTCCCAGAGCCCAGGAAGCTTCAGCCTGGCTTAGGGAGAGAGGTGCAGTGCTCACAGGCATGACATCACAGTGTCCCCCCCCCGCCCCCAATCACCCTTGGAAGCTGGCACCTCTGGCCCTAACTCTTTCCTAAGAAAAATTTCGCTGCACACCATTGTTCTGTGGAGAGGCTCACCTAGTATATACTCTGCTATTTTTTACGTATCTGGCAAAAACCTTTCTATTTTATCAGGCTTGTTAGGGATGTTAGATTTGAGCCTGCTATTTTAATTAGAATTTTGATTCTTATGCAAATGGTATTTTCTGTTCTTAGTAGTGAAGTGTACATATACATTTTGTAACTAAATAAGAATACCTTGGGTAGGATGAAGGGGCAGAAAGGTTCCCTCTGGTGTTGGTAATGTTTGGAGACAGTGATTGAAGAATGCAGAAAGAACCTGCCAAGAAACCTGGTTTTTATTTTTGCTTTGTGTGTACAAGCATGTTACAGGGTGGTAAATGTTAAGCCTTGTGTGGCAGCTGTTGTAGCAGCTCTCAGTGCTTAGGATATTGTTGTGAAATATTAAAATAACTTTGTTATGAAGTGTAGAAGGAAGTGAACTGTGAAAATATGATATAACAGGAGTCAGATGGCATTTACCTGAGAGTTACCTCTAATGTGTGAAGACATACAATGTGACGTAGCTGAACTAGTAAATAAATTATGCCACATCACTAAAATAAGAGGCTATAAGAAGATAGCCAATGTAATACCAGCTTTTTAAAAAAGAATGAGACAGGATCCAGAAAATTACAGACCTATCAGTCGCTACTTCTCCCCTACATAATTAGAGAATGGTGCTAAAGTCTTCAGATTCTTAATTACAATTGCAGTGCAGTAGTAGAACACTGATGAGTAGCTACTAGATAACATCAGCAATGCTAGACAGTCTATATGGAAAAAAATCTTTCCATCTTTTAAACTTTAAAAATGGAAAGGATTAAACCTGGAAGAGAAAAAACTGGTAGCATTAACACTCTAGATCTTTTAAATGTACAAAGTTACATAAATCATTTATTTACACACAATCCTATGAAGTTGGCTGGTGGATATTCTGCATTTGCCTTAGGCTATCCAATGAGTTTTGTGATTTAGAGATTTAATCTAAGGGATTAAATCGCATATAAGACACTTAATTTGATATTTCATTGATTAACTATTCAATACTATAAACAATTATCTGCTATCACTTTCAAATTGCCCCTGTTGTGCAGATTCTCCTCAAGTGCAAGCAACAAGCCCCTAGCCTTGACTTACTTTGATGTCCAAACTAGCGCATTGTTTCTGTCCAAACAAGCCAGGTTTGGGAAGCCAAGGACAAACCTTAGCTTAGCATCATGACTTGTTTGGAGAAAAGCAAACCATTTTGTACAGAGTGCTAGATTCCTGATCACAGCAACACGATTATTGAATTAATGAATTCATTGGTGTTAATGGACAGCTCAGATTCTGTACTTTTCCCCCCTAGGCAGACATAAGCAGATATTTTATACATGCCTCAACAGCCATAATATTAGATTGTGAGATAAAGGCTAAAAGAGACAGTAGTTGTGATCTACCATGTGAAGCATTTGACAGGAAAGCAACAAATATTTTTCAGTAAGTCATAGCTCATGATATCTAGGGCTTCTAGGCTATTGAGAAAAGGATGAGAAAAGTCCTCTCACTAGGTTTCGCTCAATGGAAGAAAATCACACTTCTATTATTGACAGTTAGTGTTAAAGAGGTTGACAGATGGAGAATGAGGGAGGGGGAGGTGGTGTATCAGTAGTGCCTCTATATTTAGATATGCCTCCTTTATCTGACTGTACAGCTGGCCACTCAATTTATTTTAAAGGACTTGTGCTTCCCTTTCCTGTGAGTACTTTTCATGTGCTTCACAGATATATCCTACTCCATGCACGCAAGCCTGTGGGGGCCAAGTACATTACTCATGCAAAGTGAAGTTCATAGGGGCCAATGGATGGACTATCCAAATGACTTGTGTACAACCATATTGCGTCCAAATCAGATTCATCACTTTTACTTTCTGCCCTTCAGGGAGCAACCCATCTACAGCACCCGAGCTCATGTCTTCCAGATTGACCCTAACACGAAGAAGAACTGGGTTCCCACCAGCAAGCATGCTGTTACTGTGTCCTACTTCTATGACAGCACAAGAAATGTCTATAGGATAATCAGCTTGGATGGCTCAAAGGTAAGCTATCTGACAGTTTAAACTCAGGTAAACTTCTACGTTTAATCTGTGCCCCCCCCTTTTAACGTTACTGAAAAGTGATGCAAAATGAGAGTACCACTCTTGGAACTTAACATACAATATAATACTTTATTAACATTTGAAGTTGGTCGAGAAACCTGTTTGGGGACTGCTTGTCTCCTCTGACTTCTCTGTCTCTCAATTCACTGTAAAGGAGGAAGGAGGCTAAAAGGCATTCTGCTTGGAGTATATATCTTTAGTTCTAAGTAATATGACAGATATTATGTTGAGTAGTTTTATTTTTTTATTAATATTAATGTAGAAATCCATTTACCACCAGAAAATCTAGTCTTATTTTCCCTGTGTGCCAGAATGTGAAAACGTCTATACTAAACATAACACTGCATATTGAGGAACGTTCTAATGTTTGCATTTAATCAATCTGTTCAACAGCAACAGTTGATCCATTTACTAAAATTTGATTGCTACCCTGGGCTCCATCGGGAGAAAGCAGGATATATGTTAGATAGATAGATAGATACAGCGGCGTAGCGTGGGTTGTCAGCACCCGGGGCAAGGCAAGTAATTTGCGCCCCTAACCCGTGGATTTGCGCCCCCTAACCCGTGGATTTGCCCTAACCCCAGATGTTGCGCCCGGTGCGGCCGGGCCCCCCTGCACCCCCCACGCTACGCCACTGGATAGATAGATAGATGATAGATGATAGATAGATAGATAGATAGATAGATAGATAGATAGATAGATAGATAGATGATAGATAGATAGATAGATAGATAGATAGATATGCTGATAATATTGAATGTGAAGATTTCAAGTCTAAATTACCATTTGGAAATCAACAGCTTGATTATTTCAACTGGCATTTTCTCTCCCTCTCTGAATCTTCTTTAAAATCCTGACATGGTTCAAATATATTGTATCTTAGGTAAATTGGTTCATCAATGTGTTTAGATTACATTATCCAAAACTCATCCTTCCTGACTAGAGTTTTTTAAAAAAAAAACCTTCAAGGAAAAGGCTAACTTCCTGCATACTTGTGCAGAAAATATAGATTATGTCACCCAAGTTCATGGTGTAACATAAGCAAAAGAAAAATGAAGGTCCCTGCCTCAAAGGAGTTCACAATCTAAATTTTGATAGCAGGAGAGACAATAGAATACTATTAAAACATCTGCATTGTTTGCTCTGTGGTGGAAAAAGTTTTTTTCATTTAAAAAAATGGCATTTTGCTAATTGTCCTATAATTGCTGGGGCTGGGGTGTCTAAAGATGTGCTGATTTCATGATCAGGCACTTATAAAATCCAGCTGCCTGGCCTCCAGTATTATGAGCAGTTTGTATTCTTGGAGTAAATCAGTCTGCTAATTCATTAAGAAAACTAATTGATGTCAATATGCAAAGCAGATATGGATGCTGTACGATTTATTTCAAACAATAAAAGATCATGTAATTTTTCTATTGTATCCTGTTGGTAAGGCACAAAGTAAACTTCTGGTAATATTTCCACTGCCATTCAATTTCGTTCATGCTGTAGTGGACTCTTGCAGACATCAGAATAAACATGCAGTGTTTCATGTAAGGATTCAGTTTGCACAATTATCTAGCACCACCAACTGGATGATTTAAATGTAGAAAGCTAAAATATTCCTTCATTTTTCGACAACTATATGGTACCAACTCCTCATCTGGATGAAAGGCAGCTGCTGTCAGTACAAAAAATATGAACCTTTGACCTAGGCATTTTAATTAGGATTTCATTGGCTTCAGTGTCATTTGTATCTTTTGAAAACCTATTCCTTGGAATGAGGCGCAATTTAAAGTTACTGAGGTTTGAATGAGTATTTCTTTCTCCAGTTTTGCTGAGTGGCAGATTTCAAGCTGCTGTGGTAAGTCTCGATTTCTAATCCCAGGGAAGATGACCTTTGGATTCAGGAACTGATCTGACTATAGGTGTCAAACTTCCCAAGGCCCTGGTCTAAATTCAGAGCTAATTATTGCTTTAAAATGAACCTTCTCCAGTTTCTGAGCAGTAGTTTACTAAAACAAAGTGCATAGATATTATATAAGCTACATTTTTTGAAAAACCTGAAAAACACAGAATAGAGTTTATGGCACATACTTGCTAATTAGGTTTCATTAACCTAGACACTTCTGAAATAAATTACATGTGGAGTATTACTGCTATCTTGTTCTTGACTTTTGCTCAACTGTTTCATCCAAAGAGTCACATATAAGAGCACATTATAAAACTACATGTGATGCATAAGATCTGTGGATCGAATCATCCAACATTTCAAAGCAACTGTAGGAGAGCTCAAAGTTGAAGATGTGGGACTATTTAACTCTATCCTGATCTTACTACCCAAAGCTGCTTATTAGCCCAGCAGAGGGGGAAGGTGCTGTAACTTTTTCTCCCTTTGGGGCTAGTGGCTGCTTTGTGATGAGACAGTTAAGCAACCCTTACTCAGTCCCACAAGCTTTGATCCAATTTGGAGTTTTCCTGTGGTTGCTTTAAATTGTAAGGAAAACTGTGTTTTGGAAAACTGAATTACAGATTTTTTGTGGAATGTACAGTTTCACTCCTCTATACAGTGTACCTCAGCTTACATATGCTTCAGGTTACAGACTCCGCTAACCCAGAAATATTACCTCAGGTTAAGAACTTTGCTTCAAGATGAGAACAGAAATCGTGTAGTGGCGGCGCGGTGGCAGCAGGAGGCCCCATTAGCTAAAGTGGTGCTTCAGGTTAAGAACAGTTTCAGGTTAAGAATGGATCTCCGGAATGAATTAAGTACTTAACCTGAGGTACCACCAGCCATTTTTAAAACTAATGCAGCATGTTTCAAAGCCTCTCTTAACAATGCCTTTTTGGTGCATACCGGCAGAAGAAACAAACCTTCCAATACAAACTCCTCCCTTTTTCTACACACTGTTCCACATGGTGCTTTGATGTTACAGCAATTGCTGAAGGGAAGCACAACATTCCTGATTGCCTGTTCAGTCTCTTAAAACAATGATAATCCCAGTAAGCTTTTTCAGGAAGGCTGCTAATAGCAAACCTCGCCATGTGAATTAAGCAATAACATGCTCTCTGAATCTTATCTGATGACTGTTTCTGCCACCACAGCAGGTTTTTTTTTTAAGGCTATAATCTTGTGCCCAATTAGCTGGGAGCAAGCCTTGTTGAATTTAATGGAAATTACTTCTGAGTAGACATGAACACGATTGTGCTGCACCAGATGTGTTTCTGCCAATCCTGTGCTAGCTTCCTAATTTTAAGGAGGTGCTATCTGTCAAACCTGATGGGTTTGTAATTCTATGACTTCAGTATCTCCAACATTTTTAGTGTAGTGATGCTGTCATACAACAGGCTAATAGAGAGCGACCTTCATTTGAATCTTTGTACTAAGACTCTTTCAAGAGGATTGGTCTCAACCTTCCATAAAAGCCTTAATCACGATTTTTAAGGGTGACACAATGGCTTATTCATTAGTGCTCTTTCTAAAAGCTGTACTTTGAATTGTTTGCAATCTTCATTGTAAATAAAAAGAGTGCACTTGATTCAGCCTTTCTAAATTTTTAACATTTTCCATTTTCTGGTTTTCTGAATGCCATCTGGATATAAACATTTACCTGCTTCAGAGGTACAGCCTTTGATTTTTCCAAAGTCTCTGGCTATTTAGGGACTTGTAAGGGAATAGAGTGATGTGTCCACTGCAGATCTAGCTGCTTCCAAGTCTAACTAGCAATAACCTGGAGTAAGGCTAGAGACCTGTCAGCAAATAACTGTAATGAGAAAAGGTTCCTAAGAGAATATCCCCAGGATAGCAAGTTCAGGGGAGTTTGGGTAGAAAAGAAAGGTAGCTTGCTCTGCCTCTTTCCGTTGCTGCTGTTAGCCTATCTCTGAAAAAACTCCTCTGGGAAATGGTTGCATAGCTTTTCACCCCCCCACCTTTATCTCTGTTAATCCTATGGGGGGGGGGAAGATTCCGTCATTATTACACCCATTTTACAAAGGGGTGGGCAGGGCTGTGGCTGAAGGTGTCCCCGTTTTTTAATTAAATTTTAATTAAAGGCTAGGATAACAACAGAAAAAGCTCAGCATGCAAGGCAAAAAATCCGAGGGTGAGCACAGCTCTCTCCAGCTTTCCAAAAGTGGGTCTAGCATCATTCTCAAATTTTGAGTCTTCCATTCTGCCCTCCTTTTATCCTTACAATTACTCTGAGAGCAAGCAGGAACTGGAATCCATAGCTGGATCTACACTGATCTGTTAATCACTAACAAAATTCCACCTTCTCCCTCTTCAGGTTGCTGTTCAACATGCGAAGCTGACTCCCATGACGTTAAGGGAAGCTTTATGAGTATATTACTTTGTTATTTCATAACTTCTTCTTTTCTTTTTTGCAGGCAATAATAAACAGCACCATCACTCCCAACATGACATTCACTAAAACATCACAGAAGTTTGGTCAGTGGGCAGATAGCAGAGCAAATACTGTTTATGGCTTGGGATTTTCCTCTGAACACCATCTCTCAAAAGTAAGTAAAAGGCAATGTAATATCCCAACATGGTCTTGAAGTGTTGTCTAGTGTGTGTCTGCAAAGATGCCTCCCTCCCCCTGCCCCGGAGGAAGACTCATCAAGGAAACCATAAGTTGCCACTATATTCCTCCAATTCATAGCAGCAAAAGCAAAATAATTGCAGGTTTGGGAAGAATAATGCCATATAAACATTAATTCTCAAATTTATTCTTTTGCTCTTTTAATATTTTACTATTCCAAAGGCTGAAATAGATTTTTTTTAACCTATAAAAAGTTACTAAAACTACTAAAGCCATCAATCATGAATTTGCAGAACCCTGGATACCAAAACTAAGCCTGGGCTTCTTGTTAGGCAGAGTGAGGCAGCTGCCTTAGGTAGCAAGTGCTGGGTGGTGCAGGAAGTAGCAGCAAGACATTGGAGCTGCATGGGCCTGCCCTGAACCCCATAAATGAGCTTGCTGCCCTCGTGGGCAGTGGAAGATGCTTGACCCATCACTAGAGTCAAACCAAGATACAACTGCCATTCTGCTTAGTTTCTGTACATGGAATGGGGTGAGTGCCATCATGTTGCTTGCCAAATGACCAAAACCCACTCAACATTCAAAGTCCTTAAACTTTGTTCAGGATTGGACTTGGCAGCACTTCTCCAAGTGCATTACCTGTTTTGGGTTGAGAGTGCTCTCATCTAATCTTACAGTTATATAACCTGATAGAGAAGGTGAACCTTATGTGTTGGGTTGGAGTCAGTACAAGTTACATTGGCCAATGAGTGGTTTCCTTGAATTGACCAAACCAGTGGCACTGAAGACCATAATTCATTCAGGTTTTGTTCTGATTTCTGCTTTGGTTGGCTTGCTTTCATTTTATGATGGTGAGGCATGAAGCAAAGACCCAAGCTGGAGAAGAGGCAAATAGTGAGCTACATGGTCAGAGCACTGATATTGTCTTCCTCAGCTCTCCATATAATCTTGTTCAATGGGTTTATATTCACTTTTAAAGTGGTATGGGATCTCAAATGGAGGACACCCTCTTAAAACCGCACTTGACTATTCTAGTGAACGTTTGCCCAGTCCCACAGTTCACACTCCCCCTTCCAGCTGAGAACCTACAGTGGCCATGGTAACAGAGCTGTCTTTGGTGCAAGAGAGATTTGGCAGTGGGCACTCACGGTAATAATTTTCAGGGTTTAACCCCAATAGTGCTATAGTGTAGCTTGAGCTCTAGGAATACAGGAAGCTGCATTTATACTGCATCATATTGTTTGCCATCTAGCTCAATATAGTCTGCTCTGACTGCCTGTGACTCTCCAGGGCCTCAAGCGTAGGCCTTTCTCATCTTCCGTTACCTGACCATTTCAACTAAGGATGCCAATGGATTGTATCCAAGACCTTCTAGATGCAAAGCATGTTCCCTACTAAGCTATGATCTATCCATATAGCTATTAGTTTCTGTGTGTGAAAAGTAGGCTTTTAAGAGTATCCTATATATGGAGCAGAGTATTTGAACAGATGTAGCCCAGGGAGCATTGACTTCTTGCACATTCTTTTGAATTGTTACAGCATGCAGCTGTTCTACAGAGAAGTATGTAGTGGGGTACATGTGGTTTTGTGCACGGTATCTGAAGAAAGCGTTGAATTTGGAAATGGTTGTGCTGCCTACTTGTCAGAATTGCTGGAACAGATAGTTCTGTGGAACCAGACAGGTGCTTGAGTAGTGAAAATTAAACAAATGTAAAAGCAAGTGTAAGCCAGTTAGATTGGGAACAAAAATGGCTTCTTGGCAAATTACAAAAGGATTATTTTTCAAATATAGATGCCTGCACACATGTGGGGACAATTCTTGGTGATAAAATGGTCAAGTAAACCAGAGGTTTATATGCAACAAAGAATTAAAGAAAATAAGGGAAAGCTTGTCCTCTTTCCTCTCAAATTTCTCCACTGGCCCTTGGGAATCTGTCCTCCTATATGCTCCCCAGCTCAGAGTGTGACTTACGTGTGAGAACCAATGACAACAACAACAACAACAACAACAACAACAACAACAACAATTTATTATTTATACCCCGCCCATCTGGCTGGGTTTCCCCAGCCACTCTGCAGGTAGAGACATCAGCAAGTGTAACAGAGGAGCATATGCCAGACCCTGTACACTAGGAGAATTCTTCTCTGATTTACTGTTCATAATGTCTGAATTCAAAGGTTCTCATCCACTGATAGAGAGAGCCTTTCTCCAGTGGAGAGAGGAGCCTTTGGCTCCCACCTAAAGAACTGATGATTCATATCATCTGAAGTAAAATGCAATTTAAAATTGATTACTTACACGGGATTAGAAAAAACCCACAGAGCCTCTTGCTGGGGAAAAAAAAAAGGCTAGCAAGCTGTATTCTGAAAATTAATGGTGACTAGTACTGTAGAAAAATATAGTAGGATCAGAACAGCAACAGTTTCCTTATCAATCTCTAGGCAGGAATATTCAGCCATGGCCTTTCAGCAGTCCTTGCTTTACTTCAGCAGAAACCCAGCCAGTCAGTGGGTAAAAGAGCAAGAGCATTCAAGTATACCTAAAGGTCCTCTTCCCTGATACTGCAGGCTCTAAATGGTTAACTGTTATACCAAAAGTTCCGCGCATAACTGACTTTTGACTACAGGCTAGATGACAGTTTTTGAAGAGTATGGGTTAGGACATTTTTGAGAGGTAGCAACCTGGTTTAGCAATCTGAATAGCTGTTCCACATTGCATTTTGCAGATAGAATGACAAACAGAAGACAGATTCTTTGTGACCACCACCACTAGAACATGGTATTTCAAAAATGGTCTCTATAAACCCCTGTTGATTATTGGAGAGCAAATGTTTTTCTCTAGCCCGATTCATTATATAGAATATGTTCTGCTTAGCAAAGCTATGCTATATACAGTGTATAATTATGTAATCTTTGCCTTTAGTTTGCAGAAAAATTTCAGGAATTTAAAGAAGCTGCACGGCTAGCTAAGGAAAAATCCCAAGAAAAGATGGAATTAACAAGTACACCCTCACAGGTGCGTTTGTTCTGGTCTCTGTTCAGATTGGATTCTGAATGCTACTAACTTCTTTGCAGATGGGCTTCATTAATCCATTTTACTTTGCAGTTTGGGAAGGACAGGTGCTTAGTTGCATGCAAACTGTTTCACAGTCCTGTACCTGGTTTGACAATAGTTATGTTGAAGAATGCTCTGTAATAGATTCTGTGGGGCTTTTGTGGGAGTGTGTATGCAGCCCCAGTAGCAGTAATTTATATTGTCTTAAGGTTGGGATAGGGACGCGGGTGGCGCTGTGGGTTAAACCACAGAGCCTAGGACTTGCTGATCAGAAGGTTGGCAGTTCGATTCCCCATGACGGGGTGAGCTCCCGTTGCTCGGTCCCTGCTCCTGCCAACCTAGCAGTTCAAAAGCACATCAAAGTGCAAGTAGATAAATAGGTACTGCTCCAGCGGGAAGGTAAACTGCGTTTCCGTGTGCTGCTCTGGTTCGCCAGAAGCGGCTTAGTCATGCTGGCCGCATGACCCAGAAACTGTACGCCAGCTCCCTCGGCCAGTAAAGTGAGATGAGTGCTGCAACCCCAGAGTCGGCCACAACTGGACTTAATGGTCAGGGGTCCCCTTTACCTGTACCTAAGGTTGGGATAGCACCAACACTGGGTGAGTGGCATAGCGAGCTTGCATACAGCCCTTCAGTATTGCAAGTTCAGCCCACTTTTGGCTCTGGCTTCACTCATCATAGAAGACATGTGCATGCACTGTTTTTCCCCCATGGGTCAATCAGTGACCCTTTGTAAGAAGATGATTTCATGCCCCTGTTAACCTAATCACAAATACCTAAGTTTGGGTTTTAACTTTTATGCTGCACCAAAGGAGATCTGCAACAAAATGCTGCTATGCAAAATGCCTCTAGCAGGAGTACTCCTATTCAGGATTCAGATAGCGACTTTTCTAGAATACTGTAAGAAACTGTAGGGACCAGGTGGAGGACAGCAGGATTATTTCCTAGACTGGCAACTGGCTGCAGTGTGCAGTTGCATTCTTATCTCCAATCTAGGGCAACTGAGGAGCTAGGGAGGAGGGCAGAGAGGATTTTGGGCAGTGAGGATAATAGAGGAGGGCAAATCTAAGCAAAGTGGGTGGGTGGGAATGCTGAGGAAAGGTGTGCTGTGGAAGATGGAAAAAGAAAAGGCAACTTAGGGGCTCCTGGCCTCAAATTGTTATATCTTGCCCTCAATAGCTATTTCTTTCCCCAAAAAGCTTGCCAGGATTAGAGGGCAGGGAATCCTGAGAGAAGTATGGGGGCACAGGACGCCTGCAAGGAAGACTGGAGATTTAATCCTATCTGCCTAGGCTGTGCATGGCTGCCAAGCAGGCAAGCAAAAGCAAGGAAGTACTCAAGATACTTATGTCCTTGCTTTGTCTCACACACCAGCTAGCGGCTGTTTCTCACTTTGCTTTTGAGCATATTTCTCCAAAAATGACTGCTTTCAATTGAACTCTGTCTCAGTTTTTCCAGTCCACATTAGTGGCAGTTATTGATGGAATTTAGCGCCCTGTGTGGTGTTGTTTACTCCCCTCAGCTAGTACCTGCCTACATTCCTGAGTTCCAGAAACCTGGGGTCCATTTTGGGGCATGCACACGTGCACTCATTTACCTGTGCACATGGCCATAAAAAAGAGAGAGAGATACAAACTTTATAATATACCAGACTTTCCCAAAACAGACTTGAACAAAACTATGGATTAAAAAATAAATTTTTAAATGTGTGTGCTGCACCAGTGGAAGTAGAGGGTGTGGTGATAGATAGGAAAACATCACCACAGAAGTTAAAAAAACAAACCACCTACACAATATGCTTCAGTGTGTCCACAGCTGAGTAACATGTGATGTTATCTTTGATATTTTTCTTACCACATTATCCATGGATGGAGAAAAACTGAATTAAATGGGGGGAACATGTGGGCTGCCACTTGGATGAGGACAACTTTGTGTGGGATGACATGAAAAACATGCACACATGGCATGCATCAATTTACACTGTGGTGTGTATGTATCTGGGGTGCAATATGTTCAGTGTAAGATATTAGATACCAATGACAAAAACTGCACAGGTTGGATTTTTCCTACTGAGCACATGTTTCTACTAAAACTGTTACAGCAAAATATTTCTATTTCACAAGCTCATGAATGATAATGGAAATCAAATGATAAATGCTCCCATCTACCCTACAACAGTACATCCTAGATATTCTATAGGATAGCTGCTTCTATCTTACATTACAGACAATTCCACCTAGGACATGTTTTGTGTCTTGGGGGCCTAACATCCTTGGGCACTTTGGCCTCAGTACAATATGCAGAAATCCTAATATCCTCCTATGTGTATTCTGGAGTCTCTCTGTCCTCCCCCGCCCAAACTGAGATTCTAGCAGGGTGTCCTAGCAGGTAACATTTAGAAAAGACAATTGGCAAGACACTTATAGAGTATATGCATAATTTTCCTGGCTGAGGTGAGGTCACTTGAAGCTATAGCTGTAGTTTGGTGTTAGGTACTAGCTCAAGAACATAGAGTACAAACACAAAGCTTACTCTCAACAATGAGAAAAAATTAATGTTTATGTGTGGTGTGAAATATATGTTACTGCTCTGTGGAAGCTTCCATCGGATAAAAAATTCAGTATGAAAATTCTTCAGTTAGAAGGAAGATGTTATAAATATGGAGGAAAACCAGGACCAGTGTTGCATGTGGATTCTATCTCCTCTCACTCTTTTCCTTATGTAGTAATTCACTTGCAAGTATCAACAAGGCTTTCATGAGTGGCATTTGGTATTTATATTTTAATCTGAATTTATTTATTTATTATTTACTGGTGCATTAATTTAAATAGCTGCTAGAAATGGTCAGTTGTTGTTTTTTATTTGTCATTGCAACCCCGTACCTTTATTACCTATAAGTCTTCTGGCACTGCAGCTTTAAGAATAGTTGTTGAAAAGCTTAGAGGAAAGCTTTTATGTATACCCAGTGAATATTATAATATCATTGCCCCTGTTAGTTCTCTTACCTTCCTTGTAACCACCGCAGGTGTTCAATCTGCACTGAAATACGAAATAAAGCCTTTTAGAAATCAGGCAACTTTCTGTTAAAATGCAGAATTTCATGTTGCTTTGTCTGGAGTTTCTTGAAAATAAGAAACTGCTATTTGGTTTTACTCAGAGAACACTTCAGTTGTTATAGTTACAAAAGAAATATTGAAAATGTGAACCTAGTGCATGTCTTAAATACTTTCTTAAAATACTAATAGCAATATGTTCTGATACTTAAATGATTGTATAGCAGTAATCATTTGCCCCTCCCCGCCCCAATCCTATAATTGGAATGTAGAAACTGGTTACCCTTTTGTCACAGAGGACCTTACCCCTGACCGTAAGGTCCAGTCGCGAACGACTCCGGGGTTGCGGCGCTCATCTCGCTTTATTGGCCAAGGGAGCCGGTGTGCAGCTTCCAGGTCACTTGGCCAGCATGACTAAGCCGCTTCTGGCGAAACCAGAGCAGCACACGGAAACGCCATTTACATTCCTGCCGGAGCGGTACCTATTTATCTACTTGCACTTTGACGTTCTTTCGAACTGCTAGGTGGGCAGGAGCAGGGACTGAGCAACAGGAGCTCACCCCGTCACGGGGATTCGAACCGCTGACCTTCTGACCAGCAAGCCCAAGGTTCAGTGGTTTAGACCACAGCACCACCTGCATGTCACAGAGCAGCTTGGTCCAAAGGGTTAGGTTCATGCAATATCCAGGACACTGTGTAAACCTCCCTGACCAGTCAGCCTGAATCACATTACTTTAAATGGCCGTGAGTGTCTTGAGTTTTTCCTCATACAAGACCCAGGACTCATATATTTATTCCTGTGAATGGATGATAACGTAATAGGGAACATAAGAAAGTTGGCAGTATGCAGTTTGAACTGTATTGTTTCCTAGGGCTGCCATACATCCGGATTATTCCAGACATTACTGGGATTTCAAAGGCAGAATTGATGTTCGGGGGGAATTTCTGAAAGCTGGTGCTTTTTTGTATTTGGGGTGCCCTGGTTTTTACTTTTTGAAATATGGCAACCTTACGGTTTCCTAATTCATGAGTTTTTTTCTGTTTACATGTATGGTAACTGGTGAAGACTGTTTTAGGTAATTAACATTAAATACCAACATGAAGAAGAATCATTATCGCACGATCACCTTTGCTGACAGTTGCACTATTAATTCTGTGCTTCTAATCGCTAAATAAATTTCAGCTACAAACAGAAATACTGTGTTATTTTTTACAAAAAGTAAACTGAAAGTGACTTACAATATAATACAAAAATTAAAACCAATACAACAAAACCCTTAAAACATTCATATATATAAAATACGGTCTAACACATCCCATCCACTAAAGGCGGTCACAATATTTAAAACTCTCCAGGCTGAAGGCCAAAAGCCGGGCTAAAAAGAAACATTTCTGCTTGGTGCCTAAAAGTTGCTAGTCATGGCACCAGACATGTCTCCCTGAGAAGCATTCCATAAGCAGGGAGCCACCACTGAAAAGTCCCGTCCTCATGTTGCCACCCTCTGTACTTCCCCTATTCCATAGAGAAGGACCTTAGGTGATGAATGCAGGGTCTGGGTTGGTTCATGTAGGGGTAGGTGGTCCTTGAAGTATTGCAGTCTTGAGCCCCATAAAGCTTTATAGGTCTAAAGCTTAGAATTGGGTCTGGAAGTTAATTGAAAATGTACCAGAATTGGCTTTATATACTCAAACCATCTTGCATCAGCCAACAATCTGGTTGCTGAGTTCTGCATCAACCGTAGTTTCTGAACTGTCTTTAAAGGCAGCCCCACATATAATGCATTGCAGTAATCTATTAATTCATGAGGTGTTGTAAGTTCCCAGACTATCATATGGATTCTCAAGCACACAGGGATGTGAGTGGGTGTGGAAAAAGAGAGGGGAGGGATTTCCATTTGATTCAGACCTAGCCTTAGGTGATAAGGCATCTTTAAATATGCTGCAACCAGATGGTAAATAATTTCCCAGCTAATGTGATTTTTATTAATATGTGGCAAGAAGTATTTGATCTATCTTGGTTTTTTAAAAATTCCTATGACAACCTGACTTACAGAATTTGAGTCATTTATGCAAACGTACAGGACAATTTTGTATTCATTTGCTCTGGATTTTAGTACACATGTTTTTAAGCTGTTGTGTAAAACTCCCGTTTCATATTGGTACACAAATACTGATTTAAATGGATATCTGTTATATAACGAGGAACATCTTAAATACAGCAAATGTAATAACAGCTGTGTCTTAGTCAATTGGATATACAAACTACTATAGGTATCTTAGGTCTTTTGCATTTGTTAGTTTATTTCCATACAAAATGGAACTTAAATGTGGTGTATATGTCTTTAACTACTAGAAAAGTCAGAAAATGGGATCCAGAGTCCCCAAAGTGGAAACATTACCATATCCATAATATTTGGAGTACTACCATACTGCTCCCAAAATTGAAATTTGGAGTGCACATTATCCTAGACATCCTGCTTAACTAGAGAAAACTGAAAATTGTCCCCCTCTCCTTCAAAAGCAAGGGTCTGAAGTTTAACCCAAAATTGTTAAAGTACTCCAGATCAACCATGTGGCCCAAGGCATACTGATTACTAGTAAAGATGGAAACATGGTCATATATATGATCTCTTATGGTGAGATGTGACATTTATTTTGTAACAGAAGCCAGTACTCTACCACATAAAACTAAATGGTCTTAATGGGCATTCTAGGCCAGTTCCCTATGGAAGTAAAGATCACCAATTAATTCATTTGTTTTTCTTTCAAATGATGGAGGAAAACGTTGCCATTTCCCCACCCCCTTATATCTGCTAAGGTGTAAAATTCAACTCTGGTACTTGGATGTTTGTCTATTATTGGAAGTACATTTGTGCATAATTCAGTGTGTAACCATAATTTTCTTTTTTTAAGGAATCTGCAGGAGGTGATATTCAATCTCCTCTTACACCTGAGAGTATTAATGGAACAGATGATGAAAGAACAACCCCAGAAGTGACGCAAAACTCAGAACCAAGGGCTGAACCAACCCAGAATGCATTACCATTTGCGCATAGGTACAGATTTCATTCACACATCCTTATTAAGTAATACGTGTGCACTTTATTAAGATGGCCTCTTTCTCCATTTGTTTAATTTAAATTTTTAAAAAGACTTAATGCTTGCAGTGTGTCCAAAGAGGCGTTTGTGCAGAGGGTGCAGTGAAGGAGACACACTATTATTAAGGGACTACTGTTCAGTTTAAAAAGAAGCTTGTCTCTTCAGGAGGGAAACCACTGCAGCAAAAAGCAAGAAACTTCACATGTTTTGCCCTCCTGTGTGCATAGCCCACTTATGTCTTACCCTTTTCTTAAAGTAAAGAAAAGGAAATGGAATAGAATGGCTACTTTTGAGCTTCAATATTTTTTTGTCTGGGAAGCACAATACAGATGCCTCTGAGACTTTTAATATTTTGGACTAAATGCAGATTAAAAGAAGAAGGGGGAAAAAGTAGAAGCTACAACAAAATGTTGCAATGTGGAGTGCATCTGTCCAGGGTGCCAGTCAGCCATGTCAGAATTCTTAATTTCTTACCTCCTATCTCCTGTTTTCCTCTCTGCCCCCACGCCCACTCACCCGCTGTTGGTCAGCAATCCAGGCCTACTGAGCATGCTCATTCCTCGCTGGGCTATTTTGGGGAAGTGGCTTTAAAGATTGCTTGTACTTCTGCAGCCCTTTGGGTTCCTCCCAGCTGGCAGGTTCCTCCCTCTTGTGTGTGGATGGTGCTATTACGGCTACATAAGGATCCACACTAGGAGAATTGAGTTTGCTATTAATATATAGGATGAGTGATCACACTATGCTGCAACCTTTAACTTTCTAGTGTACAAGAATATTTTATACTGCTGCAAGAATTATTGGTCTAGTGTGTGTATTTTGTGGGTAATGAGAATTACTTCAGATTCTTGAGCTACATGGTATTATTCTCTTTTGCACTTAAAAATGGCACTTAAGCAGGTCTTGAATGTCAAAGGAAATGCTAATATCCAAAACAAGTATGTTTTATGGGAAAATATGACATTATATAATACCTTCAGCCTGGTGATTAAAAACATTGATGAAATCAGAATTGTGATATTTCACATGAAGATGATCAGGCAGGTGTTTGACATTTATTATATAGTGAACCATCTTTTCGCATCTAGAAGGGCTGAACTTTAACTTTTCTAATGTAATTTTTATATATTGCACTAAAGCACATTAAGTTGAAGCAGAGTGTTTGAATTATTTTGAGCTGCTGTAGTTTCCAATTCTTATCTAAAAAACTGTGGGCACAGAACTGTGGGCACTTCTATTTTAGATAGTCCCAATCACTTGTGCAATGGGGAAAGAAGACCAAAATACAATCTTCTCATCCCCATATCAAACAGCTGATTAATTTGAGATTGCATACCAGTGATGAGAACTGTATGTGCAGATATGGGTTCTGGATATTGGGATCCAGATTATGGTTAAGGTGAATCAGTACCGAATTTGTCCAGACACATTTACTACTCTAGCCATCAAAATATATGATCATGAGTTGAGCTAAGTAACTTGAAAAGTATGTGTTGAAGTTACTTTGGTAACCTATCTTGATTATTGCAAAATGACCAATTCCTATTTATATTGTGGTAAATTGTGTCTGAAGACAGGAGTGCCTGGCGTGCTCTGGTCCATGGGGTCACGAAGAGTCGGACACGACTAAATGACTAAACAACAACAAATTGTGTCTGTTTTTAATAACAATTTAAAAACTGTCACTCAGACTAACAGCAGATATTGTTATTTTCCTCAAAATAAGTAATTGTACTACAGTTTGAACTGTATCATTAGTAGCAGAAGTCTAAATTTGATCTATGTACATTTCTACAATATGTATACACACTTTGAGAGAGAATCTTTTACAGTATTGTGCTATCGGGCTTCAAAATTTTGAATTGGTCTTCCAGTACTGAACCTTCTGCTGAAACAAAAGAATATTTATTGCCTGAATCTCATGTGAACAGTTTCGTCTTCAGTTACTTACAGCTAGATTTCACCAGCAAGTTATGATTTAATATGCAGAGGGGACTGTCAACATACTGGTATATGTTGTAGTTCAGTGTAGATTTTTATAGACAACTGCTTTGTTATGGGCTCTTCTTGATGGAGAGAGTTTGTAGACTTTTAGAAACTCCTAGGACTTTTTTTTATCAGAAAGGTTTCGGTTTCTTCGAAGATCAAAAAAAATTGTGTTCACAAATACTTTGGTTTCTATTCTGTCAGTTAGGGGTGTGCGGGTGTATGCAGATATGAGTGAATGAAAGGGTGGGGGAAGAATCTCAAATTGACTTCTGAAAATGGACTGTTGTGGTAATCGTGCTGATAGGAACATATAACTGAGTGGGAATTACATCCCCTGTTCTGTGGATCTTAAATGCTGAAGATTTATACTTACAGTTGTATCTGCTGCCCACTTTTTAAGAACAAAAAGGCGAAATTTTCAATAGAGCTCTTTCCCTGATAAGAAAACTTCATTGGGTTTTTGGATATTTTTCAAAAGAGCATCCTAGATGTTTTAAGTTTTTGCATGTGCATAATTTACTTATTATTGTGAAAGTTGGGGGGGGGCTGCTGGAAAGCTAGCCACATTTATAAATTTGAATCCAATTTTGGATGCTTCTAAAATCAACCTTTACATTATTAAATGTTCATTTTACAAGAAAACCAGAACACTGCTTGAAAACAAGTGGAATGTTGTTTAATAACCTTTAAAAACTGGAGATTAATAAGTAGGTTGGAGACAGCTTTTCAGATATTTCGGATGTCCGGTTAAAATTGCTTGTCAACACTGACTTGAAGATGTTCCTAAGTATCTTTTCAGTATCATAAACTGTGTCATATATCTTCTTATTGGAACATTTTAATATATAGTGTGTTTGGAAAATACATTGTAGGACTAACAGAAATAGATTTATAGTGATGTGATTGCTTGCCTACTTAAGTAATTGTTTTTTCTGTTCAAAGTTTTGGCAAACCCCCCCCCCACAAACAAACCTGATTTATTGCCATAGTGAAGAGGTTCTTTCAGATCATGGATTTCTTTTAATTTTTATTCTCTGTATAGCAAACCGTTTGATAATGCTGCATGTATATCCATTACTGTAACAAATTTGTTAAGACCCTGTTTCTCTCCTATGGGTTGTTATTATTAAAGAATGACTATAGAAATTTACCTTTTGAAGACTGGCTTGCATTTTTTAAATATGTATTATGTTTGTACTGAGGCATTTATAACTTTACTGTTTAGCAAAAAGTTTTTTTTTAATTAAAGGCTTTACTATATTCCTTAAATATCTTAAATTTGAATCCAAACATCATCTTCGATTTGCACAACCTTCCTTGCTTTAAATCACATAAATAAATGGTAAAGATAAATTGGCTTTTTACCTGTCCTTCATCATAAGGTCCCAGGGTAGAAGATTATAACAATATAATGGCACTGCAAGCAAAAATGTAGCAACTCTAGCCCAGTATTAATTTTTCTATAGGTCCTTTCCATCCTTGGTTCCTCTTTTACCCCAAGTTCTGTTCTTGCACCACTTACAGTTGCATCAAACCCTTGTTTTGCTTACTGCTCCTTCTTCTATCAGCTACTTTGGCTCATGCCCAGCATTCTTGTTGTACAACACTCCTGTTTCATTCTTTCCCAGCAATATACAGCTTAGACTATGGATGAGTCTTTTCTCTATACGAAGAGAGGCAGATGTGCACATGAACAGTTTTACCTCTGTGAAACTGCTCCTGCAATCCACCAACTCCTAGCTTCTCTCAAAGGACCTTGCATCTGTGCGTTCCATGGTTCCTATTCCCATTCTCAGTTCTTAGAATGTTTGCAAATATGTTAAGGCGTCATCAGTTGATGCCAGAAGTTTCACCATCACCACAACCAAAATCCTTTTGTTAGGTCAATTCATTATCTTATATAAATAACAGCAAACTAGGCCTTATTAAATAGAAGTGGAATGCATTGCAGAAAAAAAGCACTCAAAACTCCAGCTGGTCTGGTATCAGTGTTGTCATCCTTGTACATTCCGCCTTTTGTTCAAAAGTAAATTATTCAGGAAATTATCAGATTTTAAATTCTGAGCAATATTGTTTCCTTCCTTTGCTTCATACCCATGAAGCAAAAGTACTTTTGTATAAAGTATGGTCAACCCTTATTGGGATCTGGCCAGACATCCCAAGGGTAGCCCTCTTGCCTGAAGGGAAATGAGCACAGATATTGCAGTGCTAGTTTTCAGGAAAGATTTGTGCGGATTCATATGTTATGGGTACTATATAGAGAAAGGTCCTTTCTAGCAGCAAACAAACTAATTAAAAGCAATGGTGCCTAGCCACAAATGATAAGTAAAAATAATATAAAAGTCAGGGTAAAAATTGCTGGAGTATTTTATTTACAAATAAATACAAAAATTCAATGATAGAGCACATGCTTTTCATGCAGAAGAACTCAAATTCAATCTCTGGCATCTCCAGGTATGGCTGGAAAAGGCTCTTGGCCTGAAACCCTGTAGTGAGCCACATGGACCCCATGGTCTGACATTGTAGAAGGCAAGTTTCTATTATTAAACCAGTGATATATAAAGCACACATTATTTTGGAACTCTACATTCAGTGGATAGAGTTTAAAAACAACAATAATAAACATGTTTAATAAACATGTTGCTGACCAACGTTCTTAAAAACCACAATGCATTGTAAATATGTTTTAATTGAAAGTAGCACAGGAAACATCTAATAACAGATAGTTAATGCATTTTAATACATAGTCTTCAATGGCTCAAATTTACAAAGCAGTGTCATATTTCATTTTCAGAGTTCTCCAGTTCAGGCTTGCATATAGTTACGTAGCCTAACAGTAGAAGCCTGTGCATATTTCCTTGGAAGTAAGTCCCATTATGCTTAATGAGGTTTACTCCCGTGTAAATGTGTATAGGATTGCGATTTAAAGCAGGAGTTCTTCTCCTTATTGAATTCACTGTAATTTAAATCT